GAGTTCTCTGTTTTCTTTGTAGTGTATTTATTAGTTTTCGAATTTTTAGCTTTTTAATTAACATATTATAATAGCACCGAGCGCTTGCGTAACTGTCTTGTTCCGACTTACATTAGGCCTCATTTCTCGGGTCCTGACAGCAATCGTAGCAGCTTTTACTATAGACAGATGCTATTGCTGGCATAACACAGCTATAGATTACTATATGGCAAGGTCCACAGCCCGCATCTGTGAGGGGCTCCTCTCATTAGTGGGTCACGTCTATTTTACTGTTTGAAACCTGTTAAGTAATGACATCAGCACTCTTACGTTAATTGAGGTGCGTGCGTTTGCATTCAAAATCCACTTTAATAGGCATTTGAAAGACGAATTATACTTTTCATCAGCAGTATATGTGGAGCGAGGAATGCCTATTCCGAACGGGTTGTCCTATTCATCTGTATTAATTCATTTAAAACACAATGGACATGAACCAATCACAAAGTACCACGTTGCCTTTGTAAAAAATGGCATTACATTATACTATTCGTGATAAGCGAATATTCATGTTTAGATACTATTGCGACAAACAGCCAACGGTTGTGTCTTCACCCGAAAGCATGTTATTACCATAGCCTTTTTCATACATTTACTATCATGTCGTCACTTATAGGGAGTTTAAAACTTTAGCATATCATTTCCGCAATAAACTGATATTGAAAATGATATTAATACTTCTTTTAAGTACGCAATCGTCCTCGGAGTTGTTGTGTTTACGCTGATCATTACAGTGGCCATCACGTTTGGGGGCAAAACCTTCGTAAGTATGCTCTGACATGTTTTTACAATGCAAGATTGCCTAAAATACTCACAATGCTGTTCACGAATGTCTACCATATGTTGTTATTTTTCCCGGAGAACCATTAGAGCCTTTGATCCTTTTCCTAGTTGCCGAGAATGGCTGTTGCCTACATGCAGGAAAACCTGGTAACATACAGTAATCAATACAGTGACAAAAACCTTCTGGCTGTTGAAGTCTGGGGTACCGTGATGAAAGTACGTTGTGTGTTGTTTATTCAATCACAATTTCCTTTTGGTTACACATCCCTGTATAGATTTAATAATGTTTAACTTTTAAAACAGCACGAAATTAAATTTTAAAATGAAAAAAACTTAGTCATTCAGGCCGAATATTCTTTTCGACTTTGATTTATGAAAAAGAATCTACTTTACAGTTTAAGTAACCCGAATTTCCTTTTCGTTGGTAACATTTCGCCAATATAACGGCCAATTTCAATTGTCGTTCATTACATTCCGCCAAGATTACGTTGACGTTTCATTCTATTGCATCAGTTTCCTTAGAAAAAGATCCAATTTTGATATTTTTGTAGTACATTGAAATACAAACATGTCATAATGATTGCTGCGCATTCGTCATAACGAGCAAGTCGTCAAAAATTTATAGAATATTAACGGATGAGATATCAAATCACTTAAGTCAGCAACCAGGCCATCTCAGATATTTTTAAGTAAAAAGCACTCGCTGTGAAAGACATTAGTTGCTCGTCCGACTGGTTGATGATACATTTTTTAAGGAAACTCAAAACTCAAAAATAAAAATACATAATTGTCCAACTGCAGGAAACACATTAGTTAAAATACAGAGATATCAGATTGCTTAAATCAATCGCCGAGCCCTTCCACATGTCAATGATATCGATGCATGAAGCGACAAGAGTGTAAGCAAAAAGAAAAGGAACTAGACTGTTCGGATCAAGCGCCTAATCCAAAAAATTGGCGAACACTTCCAGATATTAAAAAACGTGTGTGAACTCGATGAAAGACACATGAGGAAGTATTAAATCCAAGTG